ATAACTGGCTTATGTTTTATTGGAGAAATCTTGCCTATAATTCTATAAAGAAAGGTGACATTCCAAAATGTCAAGCATATCTTTTTTACACAGATTATGCAAAATTCAAGTTGTATTTTAACCCCTTAGTACAACCTGTAACAGTGGTCTACCACTTCTTTCTGTTTAAGTAAAGAGATATTGAGTATCTCCTCAAAGTCAGAATTAAATTCCTCCAGGAGCATAAAATGATTGAACTACATCAGTCAGTGTTATTTCCCTACTTTTTGCTTTATCTCTAATCTTCACCAGGAAGTGATGCTTTTGTAGAAGACTTGCAAAGTGACTTTCCCATCGCATTTTATTTGCTTAAAAAAAAAAAGCACAGCACTTTTGATGATTTGTGAAATTTTTGGTATGTCTGTTCTTGACACGTTGGTTTATATACAAGTTGGGTTTATATACAAGTTATAGAAACTGATCTCTATTTCTTACAGTTCCTACAAAGGTGATCTGTAAAATTAACTGAAGTGTCTGATCCTGTTGAAATGCAATGACTTACTGACCTAACACTTTCATAGCACTGCTTATGTTGTTTGGTGTGAGGGTTTTGCTTCCAAAATACGTTTTCCCTGAACATAAGTACTAGTGTCAAAATTAGAGAACCTATTGGTAGTCTTGTGGAGGAAACTGCTACCTTTGAGCACTTTAAGGCTTTAAAATACTAACCAACTTGGCAGCTTGTTTTGATCAGGTCGTAAGGTGCCCGACGGAGCCACACTTCCCCTTGTACTGATGCACTTGGTAGGGCAGCATGGGCTTGGCAGCTGGCGCCCACAGCGAGGCCGTCCCCGCCCTGGGGAGGTCTGTGTTCTGTTTCACAAGAAAAAGTGTTATGGCATTGGACGGCTTTTTCCACGTGTAGCTTCTGGGTGCCCAGGTACTGTGGAAAAATCAGTGTCACGTGCTACACGTGTGGAGTGTCGGCTATCAACAGTTTTTAAATAATAATTTCAATATTTCTGGATGTTAACGTGTAATCTGTATTTGACTTTCACTCACCCCACTTATTACTGCCCTTTCCAGTCATCAAAAGGAAAAGTCCTGTCCCCTTCTCCCTCTCCCTTCCCCCTCCCCACATTTAGAGTACAAGTTGGGTTTTGGTGCAACTTAAGCTGTCTCCAGATAACTTTATTTGTTCTAATCCTCACTGGGGTAGGAAAGATTTGAAACACTATGTTAGACTAGACAAAAGCAAAGATGCTGTGTTAGTTCTGGATGCATCTTTTTAATATCAATTATTACTCTTCTCTTTATAAGGGTCTCTAAAATATGTTACTCTATTATAAATCTTACTTTGTGCAATATTGTTTGTGTAGGCTTTTATATACATATTAGCACCTCAGTGTAGAGGTCACTATTTTAAACTGATAGAAAAATAATCCTCAGAAGATACTGCAGTGATTAGTTAGAACCTGTATTACTCCTTATGTGTATGTATGTATTGTCTTCGGTACAAAAATGAGGACTAGGAAATATTTCAATTTAAAACTAATTTACAGATTGAAGTGGTAGTGACTTGTTTAGTAATCTGTGTAAATAAGGTGTTAGAATGGAAAGCTTTTATGATGAAAAGTAATGTGATTCATGCAGGGGTGTAATTTAATCTTAGCAGAAATTCTAGATGACCCAGACTGGTTCAGAAATGAGCCGTCTGTTCTCTGGTGGGTTTTTTCCACTTCTTATGTTGAGAGGAATTTCATAGCTTTAAGGGTTGTGCAAAGTAAAATTCCTCACAGGCAATAGCGGTTTCAGTTCATCCTTCACATTCAAAGATCGTATTACCCGAGGGTGTTCTTTCCTTTTTACGAAGTCTGCTAGTCTTCCAAGTGCCCATTTCACTTCTCACATGTGCTATTCTTTGGTCGTGTCAGTAGAGGTACACCAGTGAGGTGCCGTTCTGTGACAGCCGGCACCGCGTGCAGTCACTCAGGAATTGACACCTCTGCAGATGCTACAGGGAGTCTGCAAACACAACTGCAAAGGCAGAACAGATTGAGAGCCCCCCTACACCAGTTTGTCTGTTTTGGAGTGGAAGTTGGAAAGGAGTGAGGAGGGAATCTGTTTGGAAGTCTTCTCCTCTGTAAATTCTAATAGTGTGTGTTCGGGTGGGTAGAGGAAGAAGGCCAGAGTGGCCGGTATTGCTTTCAAAACCGTAGCTTTACTGAAATCCATGACTACAGCCTGAAATACCCGGAAAATGCTCTGACTTATCTCTTTGGGTGGAGGGACATGACCAATAGTATCATGTTCTCTTTATGTTCCGTTCAGTTACTAAATACCTAATGTCAGATTTAAATACAGAAACGTATCTTTAAATGACTTGAATGTTGCTGGTGTGCTGCTCAAGCGTGCTTGGAAGATTGAGGGAGAGAGGAGCAAACTTCATAAAAATCGATTGCCTAAATGTCAGCTTTGATGCGCTTTAACCCGAATGGCATGCTGCTTTCCAACTCCACCTCTGCTTGGGAGGTGAAGCATGAGAGGGATTGTTGCTGATGGCTGTCCTGTCTAGCTGTTGTTTCGAGATGGCTTCAATTGCACTGAAGAGAACAGAGCAGAATTAGGACGATGCCTTGATGTCAGAGATGCAGATGTTTTCCAGAACCAGACATGTAGAACACGGATTATAAACTGTAACTGATCAGAAATGAAGTAACGAGTTCAAGTCTCTTAGTATTTGCTGGGCAGAACAAGTCTCTGGGTAGGTCCAGGTAAATATTCCTGGATATCTCTCATGTTAGATAGCTGGCTGTTTGAATTTCTCTTGATTTCGTAAAACAGCCTACATGATGAGATAATCGAACGGTGGCAAATGTCATGGGTTGTTCTAGTAGTTCCAGGGTACCCAGGTAGGTCCCGAACAGTTCCTGTGCCGGTCAGTTACCGCAAATCCTCAGCTCTCCATCTGTGGGGTTCTGCCCTGTGACACGTGTCAGTTGAGTAGAAAATCCTCCTGCTTTACGCTGGAGACAGGTGCCGGGCGACCGAGCGCTCTGTCTGTAAAGAGCGAGCAGCTTCGAGATACAGGCTCAGGCTTCTGTTCTAAATAAAGTGCTGTTGGCTACAGATGTCACTTGGGATAAAGGTGAGCGGCTCGGCTGTGCTAGAAGTGGGTGAGCAAAATGCAGTTTAAAGGTGAAATCAGCTCCAGCTTCCTCTCTCCTTTAGACACGCTGCAAGCCATTTTGTGCAGGTACTTGACACGTTCTCTTCCAGGCAGGTGGGACACTCAGCGAAGTGTTCTCAGGGGATTTATAACCATGGCTTCTCCCAGGTACACCGGGGAAGGGCTCTCAGCTGTGCTCGCTCAGTTTTCCCGCGCGTTACACTTTAGTTCCCCTGCACGAGGCTGGTTGTTGGAGCTTTTCCCACAGGCGTGAGCTCAAGTCCTTAATCTGGCGTGGCCTGCGCCTTCCAGGTCGGCATCATCCGAGTAATAAACTCCGGAATTGTAGTTTCCGAGAAGCGCGAGGTGTTGGCAGCTCTGTACTGGCTTGAGGGGTGCGAGAAGAGGGGGAGGGCCCCTCTCCCCCCGCAGCCCCCCAGCGCGGGCGGCCTCGGGGCGACGGCCCAGGCAGGGCCCGCGGGGGTGTCTGCGGGGCACTCTGAGTGTTTGGAGAAATACGCTTCCGATTTCTTTGTACAACATGTAAAGAGACTTCTGTATTGCTGTTTTTGTGATTTAATTTGATTTTGATTGGCAGCTACGATTTTTTTTTCTGTGGTTTTAATTTATCTAAGGTCTCTGCCTACAGAGGACATGTACAATTGCCTGGAAGACTGTTTGCTTTGTGCGGCCTTAGTATATTTATTGACATTAGCAAGTGTTTCAAAGAGGTTTTTCCGACGAGTAGTGCGGCGGCGGCGGCGCCTCTGTGTGAATACTCTAACGCATTTCTGTCAGTAGCTGACTGTACACGAGTGTCAAACTGTTAAGCTATTTCTTTGTAAAATAGTCCAGCGGAATGCATAGAATTTTTTCCTGTAAAGTATTTTTTTAATAAACAAAGTCTGATTTTGTCCTTTACCTGCCTGGCTGCTTCTTTCCGCTCCTGAGCCGCGGCCGGGGCGGGGGCCGGGGGGCTCTCACAGCACTCTCAGCTGCCGGATACAGAGGAACCAACCTGCTGGAAAACGTCCTCCTTCAGGTCCCGCCGGCCGCCCCTCACGGCCGTGTCCTCGCTGTCGCTGCTGCAGGACGAGCGGCACTCGGGCCCGTGGAGCAGATCGTCCCAGAGCATGTCCTCGGTCTCCGAGTCGTGGCGGGTGCTCTCCGAGTCCCTCCGGGTGACGCTGCAGCTCCGGGACCCCACGCTCAGGCAGGACCTCGAGTCCTGGGAAGAGCAAAACTCCGCCAGCGCAGCCCCGCGCAGAGGCCCCTTCCCCCAGCGACGGGCACGGGGCAGCTCCCGGGCGGCTCTGCCTCGGGCACAGGAACCCACCCACAGCGCCGGGTCCCACCTCCGGTCCCAACTTGGCAAAATAAAAATTGACTTATTCATTCTAATACAAAAGTTCTTTGGCTTTTGCATAATCTCTGCTAAGATTTATATTCTGTACTCATTTATAGATTTTTATAGTTCGATACTCAAATTTTATTTTATTTTCAGGTGGGGAGTGGCAGAGGGGAGGATAAAGTAATGAAGTGAATGAGTATATATCACAAAATAGATTTATTTTTCATTTTAAGATCAAAATTCATTGGCGTAGAAGCTCAATACAGTGCTGCCTCCCAAACCACCAGAGCACCTGCAGCAATCCAACACGAGCAAT